GAGGGGGAGTGCGGAGTGGGGACCCAAAGTCCATCTGTAGGCAACTGGACATCCTCTTATAGAAGAGTCGCCAGGAGGAGAGGAGCCAATCAGGGTGCAGTGTAGCAATGATGAAACATACAACTTTCCTCTAGTTCTTTAGTGCTTCCTGTCCGCCCCACTATCATGATCCCAATTCTACCTTGCAAGTCTGGCTAGACCAGAAGATGTACACTGGTACAGACAGGAACTGGAAAATCGGAATCCAGGGTGGATGATCCCTTCAGGACCAGTGCTGAGTGGCGGTACCAGGAGGGTGGAGGGAAGGTAGAGTAGAAAGGGGGAACCGATTACAAGGATCTACATATAACCCCCTTCGTGGGGAACAGACAACAGAAAAGTGGGTGAAGGGAGACGTCGGACAGTGTAAGATATGACAAAATAATAATACTTTATAAATTATCAAGGGTTCATGAGGAGGGTAGGGAGGGAGGGGAAAATGAGGAGCTGATACCAAGGGCTCAAGTAGAAAGCAAATGATTTGAGAATGATGAGGGCAACAAATGTACAAATGTGCTTGACACAATGGATGTATGTATGGATTGTGACAAGAGTTGTATGACCCCCCAATAAAATGAATTAAGAAAAAAAGAAAAAAGATAAGGACTATGGGTTTGTTCTACTGTTTAATACAGTTCCAAAGGCTGGAGCAATGCTACAAGAAAGGAAAACTAAATAAGAAGCATAAAGAGATTAAAACCAAACCGGAACCTATTGCCATTGAGTGGATTCTGCCTCACAGGAACCCAACAGGACGGAGTGGCACTGTCCCTAGGGTTTCCAAGGTTGTGATGAAAACAACAACAAAGTTTTATTGGTATATATTTTACATATCATACAATTTTATTGTTCAAGATTATTAAGAAGATGTATGTAACCATCACCACAATCAATTTCAGAACATTTCCTTCTTGTACTCATTTTTGTTAGCTCCCCACATCCCCCAAACCTCCCTTGTCATGCCTGTAGGCAATTATGTATCCAGGTACTGTCTCTCTGCCATAATGGCCTTTACAGTGCTCTTTGTATGAGAGCAAGGCTATACATAATTCTGGATACTCACTTCAGAGGGGATTCACTGAAGGCTTAATCCACGTGAAAACCCTGTAAATGAATTCTGGACTTCCACTGTCATCTATAGCCTTCTGCAAACAGAATGTTAAGAATTTAAGCTCTGATATCATTCCCTCCTTCAGATTTGGATTTTATTATTTCCTATCCTTGGATCACACAGGCTGGTGTGCTTCCTCCATGCAGATTTAGTTGACACCTCTCTTAGATGGCTGCTAGTTTGGAGACAAGACTTTCAGACCCCAGGTGCTATTCTTTCTGATAGCTGGAAACCAAATGTTTTCTCCACCAGACTTTTCTTTTGTACCCATATCATTAGAGATCTCTTCATGAGGGTGAATACTGAGTAGGGCCATGTCATAAGAATTCATTTTTCTTAGATTGGGGTTAGAATTAAGTGTGAGCCCCAAATCCATTCCTATGTTTACGGTTTATATACGTCTCTGGTTCACTTTAGAGATATGATCATTTCATAATAGAGAGCATTATCAATCATTTTCCCCTGGGCATAAGGCGATTCTATTGACAGTGTCACTGATTGAAAGCTATGATCTTTAAGGAAGCAGAATGTCACACTTTTCTTCCACTGAGCAGCTGGTGGGCTTGAACCACCAACTTTTGGGCTAATAGCCAAACTCTTGACCACTATGCCATCAGGTCTCCCTGCGAAGAGATTAAACTGTCTTTAATTGCTGATGATAATTACATCCAAAACCAACAGGGTCAATAGAGCAGCTACTAGAACTAGACGGTAAGTAAGGCTGCCAAATATAAGAGCAGCTTACCAAAAAAATAGCTGCAAAACCTAACAAGAAAACGTAACAGCAGTCAACTAAGTCCACATAGAAGAAGCACACCAGCTTGTGAGACCCAAAAATGACAAGTCCAAAACTCAAATATGACGAAGGGATAAGTAACAGAGCTTAAATCATGAACACCCAATTTGTGGAAGGCTGTGGAGGACAGTGGGAGCCTAAAACCCATCTGGCTGAGTAGCTAGTTAGAGTAAGCTGCTGGCAGATCCCCTCTAGCCACAGGCAAGAGTCTAGAACAGCCTTACTATCAAACATCGATCATTATATTCCAGATTAGGCTGGATCAAACTTGATACTTGGCCATTGACCTCCCTCTAGGGTCCAGTGGTTCTCAACCTTCCTAATGCCATGACCTTTTAATACAGTTCCTCATGTTGTGGTGAGCCCCCCCAACCATAAAATTATTTGCGTTGCTACTTCATACTTGTAATTTTGCCACTGTTATGAATCGGGTGACCCCTGTGAAAAGGTCGTTTGACCCCCAAAGGGGTCACGACCCACAGGTTGCAAACTGCTACTCTAGACCCAAACTGAATTTGTTCCAGGTACAAGATCTAGTGCTTGTTCTGGCTTTTTAAATAGTGATGGAGGTCTTTTCTTTCTGGTTCATTGTGGTATTTTTATCTTTATATTGCTATTGTTTTATCCTTACCACTTCATTTAGTTTTTGCTCTTTATTGTTTCTGTTAGGTTGAACAGTTTATGGAGCACAGAAGGAGTAGATGCATCAAGATATTAACTGATTTGTAGGGATATAGCATGGGTGGGTGAGGGAAGATGGGGCATGTTAGGGAATTTGGGAAGTAAATAGTGATGGGGAGGGGAAGGGCACACTAAAATTGAATGTAATTACATAGCTCATTTTAAAGGTGATTTAGTCATGGGAGAAAAAGTTCTGAAACTGATATGGTAATGATTGTACAATTCTTCTTGACATGATTGAATGACTGAAACGTATGATGTGGATTTAGTGCTGATAAAACTGGAAAAAAAACCCCAAAACCAAAAAACCCTAACGGAAAAGGCATCAGTTACGCTAGTAACATAACCTATACAGAGCTCTTTATGGTGGAAAGAGAACAAAGCAAAATATCTGACTAAATGGAAACTTATCTCATGCTCTTAGGTGGGATGCCCTAATAGTGTACAGAAGTCAATTCTCTCCCAAATTAATGTGCGCATTCAATGAACTCCTCACTTAGAAGAGGAAGAACAGAGCCACAGCAAGGAGCAGCGTGACCAAGCGGACGTCAAACCCAGCAGAGCAACAGAAGGGGCCTCAGAGAGAACGCCACTGTGATACAGGGCACGATATGTGGTAACGGTAGCTCTTAAGTGGCTGGCTACGGTGACAAAGAAAACTGGATCCCTGGGTTAAGATCACATCTGTCGAAAGGTAAACTAGATGCAAAGGGTACAACCTAACTCTGAAAAGTGAAAGGAATGTGGCATTTCTTTCATACCTAGGGATATGAAAGGGCTTCTTAAGCAAAATCCCCAAAGTGCAAACATAATGTGGAAAGTTGACACTTTTGACTATTAAAAAAAAGAATTCAAAGTTACGCTAAAACAAAATATGAGGTGGATTGATGTAGTGGCTGCAACACTGGGCTCAAATGTCGCAGCATTTATGAGACCCACGCAGGACTGTGATCTTTATGGAAGCACACTGCAGGCAGTGTTTCACTCTGCTGTACGTTGGGGTGCTATGACTCAGAACCAGCCCAGTAACCCCTAAGAACAACATGACAAATTGGGAGAAGATACAGCATGTACGCCAACAAGGGACTAATATTTAGACTATATGTGGAATTAGTGCTAAGGAAAATATAGGAACCCCGAAGCAAAGAAGACAAAAAATAAAACAGGCAATGCACAAAGAGGAAATAAAAACGGCTAACAAATATATGTAGAGATGTTTAAACTCATGGAGTTGAGAAATAAATATGTACGCAATAATTATATGTCAGTGTACACTCTGATAAAAGTTGGAATGATATATGGTGCCAAGGGCTGGATGGGTTTGAGGCCCCAGGAATTATGAGACACAGATGATGAGACTGTGTATTGGTGCAGCCCTTGTGGAAAGGAGCCCTGATCAGGTAAGCGTTGGGCTGCTAAACTACAAGGTCAGTGGTTCCAATCCACTAGGTGCTCTGCAGGGTGAAAGAAGAGGCAGTCTGCTCCCATAGATTTACCACCTTGGAAACCCTATAAAAGGTTGTTAAGAGCTAGACTTGACTCCCTGGCAGTAGGCGTGGGTTCGGGGATGTAGGGATCATCAGATACAGCCAGTAAGATGTGTTTACTGGTGCAGCCCTTGTGGAAAGTAACACAGCTGATTTTGTGCAAAACTACACAAAGTTAGTATGTGATCAGCAATCCTGCTCCAAGTTACAAGTGTCAGGAAGTGTTCCAAGGTCCCTGAGGGATGTGCGCTTGCCTAGGCCCTGGGGTGTTGCTAATGCTTGTGGAATTGGTTGAAATGATCTGTCAATCATTGGGAGAATGGACCGGGACTATGCACTGGGGCACACTCTAGGCTACAAAGCTGTACTTACTCAGAAGCACAAACTAGACACACATGGATGAATGTAGGGCTGAGGGGAAAAGTTAGATACAGAATGAAAGCAACAGTATACTACCACTTACGCCCATGAAAACTCTTGTGCTCAGGATGATTCGTTTTAGAAGGACAGATACGATGGTGGTCTAAGGAAAAGAGGTGGGGAGGAAGAAAGGCCTATGGATGGAAATAAAAAATGTGCAACTAAAGAGCTATTTTGTACAGGCTTATTATTGTGCACCACCAACTGAGGAGTGACACTGACTTAACCTTTGCAGCTGAGGCTCAAAGGGAGGAACATTTTTGTAGGGAAAAATGAAAAGAGAAAAAAGATGACACAATTCTATCAGTGCTAGATTTTAACAAAGATCTAAAGCATGCAGTATTGAGGCCGCAGTAAGGGGTTTGGTATTGTCAAAATAGATGTGACCAGCTGGAAAACTGGGGACCCTTGTTAGTTACAACAAGACATTTAGTATAACTGCCACTTGCCCACACTTGGCAGATAGATTAGCTGGGGCAGTACAGCCAGTCATGCCTAGAGCTCTGGGGTGTTCTTCAGTCTTCCTGTGTGGGACTTTGCTGTGGTTGTATTGTTAGGTGCTGGCCAGTCCGCGCAGATTCAGATGGACCCTATGTACCCTACGTACCCATCACGTGCCCATCACTGCAGCCCCACGTCCATCCCTCTTGTGAGGGCATGATGCCCTGCTCCACGGACTCACCTTTCCCAATAACCGTGTCCAAAGTATGTGAGATGATGTCTCACCATCCTTGCCTTTTAAGGAGCATTCTGGCTGTGCTTGGCTAGTTTTTAGCAAGGTATTTTAATAAATACACAGTAGAAATGAGCTAGCTTGCAGAGGAAGCTAGACAGAAATTCAGAAAATCTGGACTGGGGAGAGGGTGCTCATGGGGTTTGAAAAGCCAACTGCTTCTAGACCCGACCTGGAGGCCCAATCAAGCATCAGAGAGACAGAACAAGAGAGGAAAGCAATGAAAAAGGTCCAGGACCTACATCTGATAACGAACTGTGGTCACTGACATGAAGTATGAATGCAAAGAAAGAGACCAGAGGCTGCAATTGAGGGAATGGTATTATCAGAACAACCACGAGTTTAACATGAAAAATACATGTGACTGTGATCCCTAATACAACTACCAGGCTGCCAAGAAGCTGGCTGAATAAGCTGCACAGGGTCCAAATGGGCACATTCCCTGGCAGCCACCAAGGATGATGAACTCTCATGAGGGAAAGCTAAGGCCAAGCAGATCACATCTGGGGCAGAATTCTCTCCAGAAGGCAGACTCAGAAGAGGCAGATGTGCTTGCAGGAGCCTGAGCTGAATGGCAGTGACCTGAGCAACTCCAGTGTCACTGCCTCAAGGAGCTCTTGGTTTTGGACTTTCGCTTTTCTCTTCCCCTTCCACTGTCGTGAGGATGGTGACAGCTCGCATGGCCTTGGAGACCAAAGCAGCCACCAGCAGGAGTCCCGAATGACTGAGGGGAACAAAACCGCTAGTTTGAAATGTTCCCCTTGGAATTATTAAGGGACAGAAAAACAAGTTCTGTATTTCCCAGCCACTCCAGAGTCTGCTAAATGTGACCATGGTTTAGTTCTCCGTAGCTAACCCACAGCAACATTACATCTGTATACGAGACCGAATATAACGAAACTCAAGGATCAAAATAAGAGTAAATTCCAATGGATAAGGGAGATCTAATGACAGCGTGGTAAACTTTGACCTAGCTGCAACGGCAACAATCCACTCTCCAATGTTTTCTTCATGTTAGCAAGGCTAATGGCTCCCTGGGGGTGTGGCAGGCGAGGTTGGAGGGACCCGGGGAGTTAATGAGAGTACAAGAATGAAGGAAATGCTCCAAAACTGACTGTGGTGAGGAATAAACCACTCTTATTGATGTGATTGAACCACTGAATGGTATGATATGTGAATTTATGTCAATAGAACTGTTGGGGAAAAATGAAATTCAAAGAGATCATTTGTTAGGGGAGTGAACATTTTTTTTCCCTCTTTACTTTTGTTTTGCTTCAATTTTCATTCTTGCTATTAATAGTATCACGTAATAGTTAAAAAAAAATCCACACCCAAACAGCCTGGTTTAGTAGTATTGTCTGCCATCACGTGATCTGTGACATAAACATTATAGGAAGTGAGAATACACCATATCTATGGAACATGAAGTGTGACTGGATAATAAAATAGGAAACAGGTTAAAAAAATAAAGTAGAAAAGAGAGAAAGGAAGAAATTTAAAAAGGCAAGTTTTGAGAAGGGCACAGAATGGTGCAATGGCTTCTGGGCATGAACCCTTTATTTAGATGTTGTCCTTCAGCTCTGACATGCTGGACTCTTGCTGGGCTAGCTGCCCTTGGCTACTCTCACAAGACACAGGAGAGGCAGTCGCTAGCTTGGTGGCTATAAAAGACTTGGCAAGGTGAACTTAATGGCAAGGTTTGAACAGACGAAATGATATCTTCAACCTCTTTCTGCATTTCTTGCGGCACACATTCAGTCACTGAAGTGGCAAGAAACAGACAGCAGGGAGAGGGGCTAAGGAGGTGTGGACAGAGCTGAGGTTTGGATTCAGCAGCTGCAGTTCAGCTCTCAGTTCCACTGCTCACTAGTTGTGCAACCAGCCCCCTGGGTTCTGTGTTGTTACGCACATTTCCCATTTTAAAAACCTCTTAGGGATCGCTGTGAGCATCAAGCCTAGCAAGGGCACGCATACGTCACAGGGTCTTAGAATAGGTCTGAAGCATAACGGAGCCTCAAAGACCTTTATATTCTCGCATCCTGCAAGGCTGAGAGGCACCCTGGGATAAACAGCAGGGGGAGCGTCCTACCTGAACCTTGCGAAACATCTGTAAGTTTATCGCTTTGACTTCTTCGAGCTGCTGGCGAAGGGCCACTAGAGTATCCTGTTTTTCATGGGTGTCCTTTTCCAGTAATTTCATTGCAATTTCCATTTCCGTTTTCATTCCAATTTGTAACTCCAGTTCTTTTTCTAGTTCCTTAAAAGGATATATGCAGGAAATCCTTATTAAAGTAGGTCACAGAAATGTCTCTGACTGAGACTGCATCTTGGGAATGCCTACAATATAAACTGATGGCAGAAGCAGTTAGGGAGGTTTAGAAAAATCGGCCTGCCAGATAACTAGATTAAGTTTTCCCCTGTTTTTAATTTTATAATTAAAACTGCATCAAGCCAAGAGAAAGCTGGTAAGCTGCACTGTGAGCCTAGAGTTTTAGCAACTGTAGTTTCCCAAGCCCCTGCCTCAGGCTGCATGGTTGGAAAGAGCATCTGTCTTGCGTTCGACAGCTGGGAGCAATGTGGATGGTGCCACAGAGGTGAGGCTGGATTCAGAAGATGCAGTTCAGCTGTCAGTTCCTCTGCTGACTAGCTGTGCAATGTTAGAATTTCTGGAATGGGTCACTAGTTTAGAGAGACAATGGTGCAGTCATTCTGAACTAGGCTCTGGCTTGGTTAATTCAGGGCCCAAGTTCCTCGCATCCAAGGGCCTACTAAATTTAGGCCCTTCCACCCCTCTGGAAGTGGACAACTTTGGACTTTCTGTGAGCATCGGCAGGTCTCAGCATGCCATGTGAAGAGTGCGGACAGAAATAGCTGAGGGCCACTAAAGAGGACTTTCTTAAGGCAGCCCGTCCACTCACTCACCAGTCGGACTCTCTTCTCCTCCTTTAACTGCTTCCACACGTCACTGTACATCTCATCCAGACCTTGCCGTGTTTGCTTGTAAGTATCCAGCTCTACTTTTGTATCCTGTTTTGTTATCTGGATCAAGCAAGAACAGTGAGAGGAATGATTTGCTTCTGAAAAGTTACACAGACCAGATAATTTGTAAATGTTTATTTTTCAATTTTGCAAAATACACATAATAATACATTTGCCATCTCAACCATTTTTACATGTACAATTTAATGACACTCACTATTTGGGAAGCTAGCCCCATTAGTCATTTCCAAAAATTTTCCTCACGCTTAAGAGAAACTCAGAGCCCCTTAGACAATAACATGCCCTTTCTTTCTCCCACCCATGCCTACTACCTACAACTGAACTTGAGTCTCTAAATATCTATTCTGGATGGTTTATGTAGGTGGGATCACCCAGCATTTGCTCCTTTGTCACTGACTGGCTTATTCACTCAGCACCATGTTTCTAAGTTTACGCAAGGCTTAATTGCATTTTTTAGGGCTGAATAATATTCCATTAAAGGATAGACAACTTTTTTTAAAAAAATCATTTTATTAGGGGCGCATACAACTCTTATCACAATCCATACACACATCAATTGTGTAAAGCGCATTTGTACATTCATTGCCCTCATCATTCTCAAAACATTTTCTCTCCACTTA